ATCAAATAGCTGATAAGTGCTTGAGAATGATATTTCTTTTCTTCATAATGCCAATAGGATGGATTCTGAGTTGAAATACTGTTATGAAATATTACGGTTATTTTATGACACTTTGGGTTTTTTTCTTTCTTTTACTTTACAGAGACTGTGCAGTTGATCCAACTTGTGTTTTATGCATGGAATGCTTTTTGGGAAGTATTCATAGAGACCATCGATACAGGGTTAGTAATGTTTACATAATCACTGTATGTTGTATTGAATTGTATACTAAACACCTTTGCTTTCTTTTTAAAACTCCCAAGGTTTGGCAGTAAAATGAGAAGAGTGGTTTGAAAGTGTGTTCTTAAGGACCGAGGTTATAGCTTAGTGATATAGTGCTTCTCTAGGATGTGCCAACCCCTAAATCAGTCCTACCCCCACCCAACACACACACCCTCAAGAAAAGGTTCTTTAAACATCTATTGGCTTTATAGAATTGCTAATCCATTCTTCTTGGAACTCATGGCTCAAGAAAGATAGCAACAGATTATCAAACCCTTTGCATTTTTTTTTTCCCTGTATTTTAGGGAAGGGTCTACAGTGTGTTCAGGGTCTCACTACTAGATGGGACTCATAGCGATTCTTCTGTTTACAGCCTCCCAAGTGCTGGGATTACAGGCGCGCTCCACCACGCCCAGTCTCAATTGCCTTCTCAGCGTGACCTTGGGGTTGGGCCAGCATGTTAGGCCCAGGGATCAAACCCCTGGGCCCTGCGCCTGCTTGCAGGTGCTTTAATCTGCTCAGCTGTTTGGCCAGCCCCTGCATTTGCTTTTGAACTAGCTTGTTGTGCAGGTTTGTTTGTGGCAGGTTCTTGCTGTGTAGCCCAGACTGACCTTGCACTCACTTATGTAACCAATGCTGGCCTCAAACTCATGGCAGTCCTTCTGCCTCAGCCTCCCAAGTGCTGGGATTATAGACATGTACCACCATGCCCAGCTCTATATTCTTGTATGTTATCTTTACTGTCATAAATTAATAAGATAATCTTAGCCTAGTGTGGTGCTGCATACCTGTAAACCCAGAACTTGGGAGATAATTCCAGAACTGTGAATTCAAGGCCCACCTGGACCACACAGTGGGACTCTATCTTAAAGAGAAAAAAAAAAAAAAGAAGTGACAGAATTCAGTTTCCTTGGGGGAAAAAAATCCTAGTTTCCTTTAGGTGGTTCTGTTGTTCAGGAAGCACATAAGCTATACAGTAGGGTTGTCATT